TTTGCTCTCTTTTGTATAATAATCCAGATAATTTTTCAGTTCTAACAACTTGGAAGATTTCTGTTCAAACCTTCCTGGTTTGGTCCATTAACAAGAACAGCAATTTTTTTTTTCCTTGTTCATTCACAGGGTTTGGACTTCGCTGATTAAGCCAGCACGTATTATACATTCCTGATTGCTCAGTAGTTAGTAAAAGAGTCAGCCACGTTTGAAGTCACATGTGGGCCAACCAGGTAAGGATGGCACACCTCCTTCCCGACAGGATATTAGTGAATCAGATGGATTATATAATAATTGACAATGGTTACACGATCGCCATTAGGCTAGCTGTCTATTACAGATTTTTATCGAATTCATGTGTCACCATCTGCCACAGCCGGGTTCAAATCCATGTCTCCAGGCCATTACCCTGGGTTCTGGATTACTAATTCAGTAACATTACGAGCATGCCACCACTTCTGCACACCCGAGATAAAAAAAACAATTGCACCTTCTTGTCAACATATTTCAATGGCTAACCACCACAGCAACCAGCTGAAAAAATTAAACCCATCGTCTGTCAAGCCAGGATTGATCCTGGGATCTGGTTTGTCCACTATTCGTAATGGATGCTTTCAGAACAAGTGGCTCATCTTCACTTGTAGCTCTCTCAAGGTACAGCAGTTTTAAATCGTCACCCTGCAGAGAACGCTGTGTGCAAATTCACATCCAAATTATTGGGACTCAGCATGATAGATCTAAGAGATGACAACCCACAGGATTATTTTAATCAGTTTTTTGCAGTGAGATATTTCCAGCTCATTGCACATCAGTATACCTCATCTTCACCAATATTGCAAGTTTTAATCCGTTTATAACCTCGAGGATAAAATACGTTTGACTAGTTCCGTAATGGGTGAATTCAATTTTGCTCCAATGTATCAGTGGAATTCTAATTTTAGGAAATGTTTGTGAAATGAGATTTTCTGTCTAAAGTTAAACTTCTATCAAAATACATTAGTTCATCTGCTTTGTACCAATGAGGTAGATGCCAGAAAAATCTGACAACTTTTTTATACAGGATCTGCTCAACATTTCTATTAAATCCTGTTCCAGTCTTTATGCTCTTTTCTCGTGGCAGAGTGTGGTTAAGCATAGGGCATCCAGCTGTAGTGGTGACTGAAATTAATACCCAAGTGCTATTCATCTCACTGTGAACAATTCGAAAGTACAGGTACACACTGATATACACTCACAAACTCAGGGCAACTCTTGTCGACAAATACAGTTGCACCATTTTCTTCAGCTGGACTGCAAATCCAGCCAAGGAAATAGGACTGAAACTCGCTCACGACTTCAGAACACTTCAGCAGACTGTGATGTGGAGGTGCTGGTGTTGGGCCAGGGTGGACAAAGTCAAAAATCACACGACACCAGGTAATAGTCCAGCGGGTTGATTTGAAAACACAAGCTTTCAGAGCGCCGCTCGTTCGTCAGGTGCAGTGACAGAGAGCACACAGACGCAGAGTTTTTGGCAGAGGGATCAAAGGATCATACAATTGGTGTGAGTGGAGTGAACAAACATAACAACGATTGATGGAGAATTCTGTTAGAAAGGAGACACAAGTTTCGAATGATTAAGGTGCAAATTCCAGTATGTGTTTCAAGCGACTGCCCCGAGATAATTGAAGGTTTTAGCAGTGTCTGCCTAGCTTTCCAAATGTCATTTGGGCAGGGATACAAAAGGTGACATCTCAAGTCAGACCCTGAACTGTAGGTGTGAGGCGTCATTCAGAATCTGAGAGTTTTAATCTGGAATCAGGCTGGTTTTATTCCAAAAGCAGGAATTTATAAAATGCCACACTGACTGACTCTGACTACAAATTGTGTTTTTTGAACAAAATAGAATGGATCTGCAAATGGACAAACATATTGGATGAAAAGATGCACCACGAGAGAGCGTAACAGAGGTGATGCTGTCAAAACAAGACAATAAGGAAGATTTTACAGATACAAAACAGTGTGGTGGGGTCACCTGTAGCACAACATGAACCCAAGATCACAGCTGAGGCCATGATCACGGGTACAGAACTTGGTTATCAGTCTCTGCTCGGCAATTCTGCGTTGTTGTGTATCCTGACGTCCGCCTTGGAGGACATTTACCCCAAGATCGGAGGCTGAATGCCCCTGAACACTTCCGACCGGGAGGGAACATTCCTATCTGGCAATGTTGCGCTGTGTCCATTCATCCGTTTTAATTTGGCGTCAGAGTCAGTCAGTTTTGCATTTTATAAGTTCCTGCTTTTGGAATTAAACCAGCCTGATTCCAGGTTAAAACTCGGAGACAGATTCTGAACAAGGTCTCACACCTGCAATTCAGTGTCTGACCTGAGATATCACTTTTTGTATCTCTGGCCTGACTGAAGTTTGGAAAGTTAGGCAGATACTGCTGAAATCTTTAGTTATCTCGGGGCAGTGACTTGAAACACATTCTGGAATTTGCATCTTAATCAATCGAAACTAGCGTCTCCTTTCAAACAGAGTTCTCCATTAACAATTTTATGTTTGCTCACTCCACTCACACCAGTTGTATGATCCTTTGACCTCACTGCCTAGAAATTCTGTGTCCGTGTGCCCTCTCCAACTGCACCTGACAAAGGAGCAGCGCTCCGAAAGCTTGTGATTTCAAATAAACCCGTTGGACTGTAACCTGGTGTCATGTGACTTGTGACTTTGAACAGACTCTGACGACAGGCACAAATCATTTGGAATGCCAAATCTGTCAAAGGCAGCAAGTGAAGGCAAGATAGGATCATTTAGCGTCATCACAAGTTGCGGAGGTCTGAACTTTTTCAGGCCTTTGAAAATTCAATACTTTTTACGATTTCAACACTTCATTTCTTACAGAACATTGGCCAAATGCACGCATGTGAGCTTTTGATGATGCTGCCTTTAACAAGTTGTTCAACCTAACAATGCAGACTGGAAACCTATCCAAATCTATTTTTAAGCTTCTAGTTTAATTGTACTATCATTCTCAAAAGGAGCTTTGCAGAAACTGAAAACAGACTGAAACATTTAACAGTGCGTACTTATTAGGCAGTGCATCTCGCTGGAGTACTTGGAGTTGTCTGGAATTGTAAAGCTCCCATCACAGATTGCAACCTGGCTTTCTCCAAATGGTAGTGTAAAAAAGCAAAGTTTGTACAGTAAACATCCAAGAGCCTGAAAGAGAAAACGGAAGAATATGACCAGTCTCAATCAAAAAAAAGGCAGAAGTTATTTTTCCCAAGACAAGTCAACCAGTGGCTCTTGCCTTCTTGGGTTATTAGAGCAAAGCAAGTTATGCTCTTGCATCCATTTTCTGGAATATGAAATTTGTTTGTTTTTTGTAAAACTCTGTCAGCTGTTTGATCATGATATGAAAGTAGAAAACAACTGCTGAAAGTAGCAGGAGCTTCTGCTGACCTGTGCCCCACACATTGGCTGATGCTTTGGGAAGAGTGGACAATTGCTTCACATTATAACAAGAATGAGTTTCAATGCTCTTTCCCAAGAGGAGATGGAGGTCATGGCCAGTCATTTTACTGACTGAAAAGGTCAACAGCCTAACATCGCCATCGGTGGTTTTTTAAAGCTGTGAGCAATTCAAACCTGCTTGTGCACGTGTATGCATGACGCTTCGTAACATACAAAAATACACAGTGAAATTCAAAATGTCAATTCTGATCAGCATACCAACAGATCACACTGAATTAACAAAAGTGCTGTTCGCCAATCTGACCGTAAATACCCTGCAACAGCTATAGCATTTGGGGGAAAATCCATTATCATCAGGCAATCTTATGAATGCTTTGACACTCGAGTGAAAACAATTACCAGAACGCTAGTCTAAGTGAATGATGTACATCAGTGTGAAACGACTTCACCCACATCCCACAGCCACCAATGCCCTTTATGATCCTGTGGACACGTTCAAAGATGTTGGCCAAGTCATGCATATGGGTCAGGACAAGGCCCCTGCTCTTGTTCAGACAGCATCATGAGACCATTGCACTTATTTGAGGGTTGGGATGGTGAGGGCCAGACATTTGGCCATAACATGGCAGAACTGATCATGTGGAAACAAGTGTAAAGCTGAGGGAAGATAACTGAGAGAAATTGAAACACTTTGTGGTACTCTCTGGAGAAAATCCAAGTCAATGGATCTGAACTACAAGGTCTGAATGGTGCAATTTTGCTACGATTGCCTCTTGTTATGAAGTGTGAGTGATCAGGGCAACACGTTGTAAAATGAGCTTACTGCATTCTTCTAGCGTGATCTTCAGCTTCTAATAAATTTTAAATGAATGCTTTGGCATGAAAATGATTGCCGAGATTAGTTACCCCTACCATTGGAACAGCCTGACATTCTGAACAGCTCTATATAAATACAAGTTTGCTTGTTTGTATTACTGGTAATGTAGTTGAGTATGTTCATTCTCTAGACTTTCATTGCCAATTATTTCCATTACATCAACAGCACAGAATCGGGAAATGCCTGAGAAAGAATATCCTGTCACCAAGCGCTTTTGTTTACAATATATTCACAACAAAGGCTTCTGTTTACTCACCCAAATATCAGCCTTTGTAGTAATGGGTTTGCCACAGTAAAGGTTGACCATTTCAGGAGCTCGGTAGGACAAAGTTGTATACCTGAAAAACAAAGGAGTGGGGGAGATTTCTCCAATATTTGCTTCATAGGGTTGAGACTGGAATTTCAGATTTTGGTTCTCTCAAGTTCACAGTGATTTGCTTTTATTGCTGTCTTTTAGGTTAGCCAATGTACCATAGAAAATAATTTAAGCTCATCTCAATAAATCGGACCACTTAAATCTAATGTCATTAGAACACATCATGTCAGCTGACGTGGTCTGAAATGCTGTTATTTAGAAGTACACCAACTGATGAAGTACGGGCAAATTTTCCCAGTTTGTTATAACATCCCTACCGGAGCCAAAACCACACCAGATTACGAGAATATACATTTCTCTTATGTTTTTGAGACTTTATGGCTGCCAGTAAAGAACAATGACAGCACTTCAAAATAATTCATGCTATGCAAACATCTTTTGAGCCATTTTATGCGACAGAAAGGGAAATAATAACACAAGGTTCTTTTTCTCCTCCTTGTACTACAATGCAATGGGGGAAGGGAAAATCACAACTAAGCTGACACATCTGACAAGTTGGTTCCCAGGATCAACAGGTCAAATAATGGTTAAGAGCAAGGCTTGAAATTAAAACGAACAAGGCCCCATGCCGTATTACTTCTCAGGATCAGTATGGCAATACAGCTATAAGATTCATACTCATGATATCATCACTGCATCAGAGCACATGACCTGAGGGCCTAAAGGTTTGATTTCCCATTTTACCATGGATCACTTGAAGCATGACACTTGACTGGAACTATGCTCCTCTTTCGTAAACGAAAAGTTTACTATTACCAAACACTTAGGTGCCTGAGGAATGTAATGTTTATATATTGGGTGGCACAGTGGCACAGTGGTTAGGCACTGCTGCCTCACAGATCCAGGGACCTGGGTTTGATTCCACACTGTCTGTGTAGAGTTTGCACATTTGCTCCGTGTCTGCATGGGTTTCCTCTGGGTGCTCCGGTTTCCTCCAGAGATGTGAAGGTTAGGTGGGTTGGCCATGCTAAATTTCCCACAGTATCCAGGGACGTGCAGGCTAGGTGTGTTAGCCATGGGAAATGCAGGGTTACTGGGACATGGTAGGGGGTGCTCGGTCTGGGTGGGATACTGTTCAGAGGGTCGGTGTGGACTCAATGGGCCAAATGGCCTGCTTTCAAACTGTAGTGATTCTATGATATATAATTTAGTTGCAACGAATGCCCACTGGGTTCACATGACCACAATTCTCTTAAATGTCTTGTATATAACCAAATGTCAATTGACGCCAGTGTATATCACTGTATATCACTCTCATCATCTGGCACAATGCTCCAAAATTCTCTCAACTCTCTGGGCCCATTTACTTGTCCATGTCCACTCTCAGCCACTTTGAGCCATGTACACAGGTGACAGCATGCGGCGTGGTTAGGGGATGTCAAAATTAGCAGAACCAAGACACCTCTAACTTAGATATTTACAACACCTTTAACATCATGGATGCAGGGTACATAACAGGAATGATACCACACAATATCGAACATCAGGACAAGTAGGATATATATGGGCAGAGTCCCAAAAGCTTGTTCAAAGAGGTGAGCTTCAGAAAGCATCTTTAAGGAGGACAGAGAGATGCATTAATGAAATTCTACAGTTTTTAGCCAAGCCAGCTGAAGGCACAGACGCCAATGGGGAAACAGTTAAAAACTGAATAAGTTCACAGTCAGAGTAACACAAGAGATATTGAACAGTTGCAGGACTGCAAAAGGGCACCGAAACTAGGAGGGACCTGGAGAGATCGAGTGCCAAGAATTTGAAAACTGGGAATTTCTTCAGAAATGGATTTACTCAACCAGCATCTAATGTGGGCCAGTAAGCACACAGGCATCAAGCAACAACTTTTTTTGGCTGAAAGATGGAAGATTAAGATAGAAGATGAGAAGCCTGACAACAATGGAAGGGTCTTGTCTGGGACATCAACAGAGTCAAGAATACATTTGGCAGTTACAACACTGAAAAAGCTGGTCTTCACATGAGGGAATAGACGTATGGCCAGATACTCATTCCAACAATGAAGACGAGACTGCGAAAAGTCTGGTCTGTGCCCAGACGGTTATCTGAGAGAGGTTTGTCTGAGTGGCTCAGGAACAGTTTCTGCTTTGGTAATCTCAATATTTAGCCGGAGAAAATTCAAACTCACTGTACAGTAGATATTGAACAAGCACTGTACTGAAATAGGGATTGCAGATGGGCCACGAGAGGTACTCAGGAGGCAGAATTGTCTGTTGTCAATGTACAGACAGCACCTGAGCTTGTGTTTTCAGATCATGTCTCTGAGACTGGAATGCAAACAGACTGAACTGATTCCACTTTATACAAATTGATCAAACTTCTTGTTTGTCAAGAAGCCTGGGAACAAAGGAATGCACAGTACAAGCATTATTCCTTGAATGCACGACTATATATAGTCAAATATTCCAGCACTTCAGAATAGAAAGCTCAATAAAAATAAGTGCTGCTGAGCCATTTTGTCCTCTTATCGTCAGGGCTTTTGAATGCATCAGCCAAAAACCATTCGCCTTCAAATAAGCATTGCAGAATGCATGTTGAGAAATACTGTTGATACCAAATCTGTTGTTTAGCAAGTGTGGAGATATTTTTGTCCTTCCACACTTATGAGATCATAACTGGCTGCAAGACTGGGTCCTTCCGTTCTATTAGGATGTGTTTGCATTTCATCAGAGTTTTGGCAGAGCAACACTAAAACAACTTCTGTGCCTAATTCCCCTTAGCCTCCATTTCTCAGTCCCCGTTGTCAATCCATTTTCCAAAAGTTCTTTCAATGTTGCTGGAACCTACAATGGACCAGCTCTGACATTTTCTGCTTTGCTTTCATATGAACATCTCCTTAAATGCTTTTGCATATGCAAGGGATTTGCTAAAACAAATCTAGGAGGGGGGCAAGTGCTCAGGTCTTAGCTTGCAGGAAGCCTTCAGGACTGTGATGCAAAGAAAAAAGGCAAGATTCTGTTCCTTCTTTGCATTCACTCCTTCTGCCTCCAAGACCCTACCCATCCTCCCCAAGAAGTGGATCCAGTGGCCACTGGAGACCAGGGACAGAAAAGAGAATCTGGAAAAAAAAATAAAAAAGGGAAGCAGTGTGGAAGCAATCTGTCTGTACCATAACAGTTGCCTGGACCCTGACACACACGAAACCAGCTCACTGCTGCTTACACACGAAAGGAGATGGTTGTTGGTCTGACCGCAGCTGGAGACACACTCACATCATGAGCTCTGTGTACAACGGTCTGTTTGCTGAGAAAAGCTGTTGAAAGCGAGAAAGCCTGGTGTCAGGGGAGACGTGATCTGCAAATGCACATTTTGGAAAGAATTCACCTTTTCTGACATTTATGGCATTGCACACAGATAATACTGAAACAGGACTTAATTCAACACTGCCCCCGGGTTCAAAAACCAAACCGACAACACGGCTTTTCAAAACTGGGAGACGGGAATGATACAACAGTTAATCCATCCCTGCCAATACACCAGTTTGTCAATACAATGCACTTAACCACAGCACTTGCCTCAAATTCTCAGACGGCTCCCAGCACTGTCACAAACACACAGTGAACAGTCATGATGCAGGGTCACTGACTCAAAACGTTAACTCTGTTTTTTCTACACAGACGTTGTCAGACCTGCTGAGTTTCTCTACCATTTCTGTTTATGTTTGTTCTGATTCCCAGAATCCGCATTTCTTTGCTTTAGTTTAGAACCATGGACTCTGTGCCTCAAAATTCCAGCTTTATAACTGTCTTCAGAGACAACCTGAGCTCAGTCAGAGAACGCCTGCTTTCATTCTGCTGGGTAAATTTCAGAGTTTCAGTGGGCGTTATAGAAAGATTTTGTGTGATAACCATCAATACACTGCTGAAATTCTTCTGGCTAGTTGTGACAGAGCTAAATGCTACCCAAATTTAATGACTCAATGGGAGGAAATAAATAACTTGGAATTGGACTAGGAACTTAAGTAATCCTTCACCTGACATCATGCACACAATATTCATTGCTTCAGAATGGAGGCATTTCACAATACCCAAGTGTTGAAGCATACTCAAACTTCTTAATATATTCCTTAAAATTCAGGAAATTAAATACAAAAACAATGTACTCACTGTACAGAGAACAATGAAAAATTATACTGCAGGGAATCTGAAAATTAGGACATTTTAAAAAATTGCTTGCTTGCAAACAGGATGGTGTTCACCTTAGGGAAAAGCTCTAGCTCTTGCTTGCGTGCACTGAGCATAGATTACAGGCAGATCTCCCACTGAGAAGTGGGTTTCATTCACTTAAGAACCCGATAAAACATACAGCTCTCAAAAACACAGTATGAAGGTTAGTTTTTATGAAATGGGCAAACATATCTTGTGATACATGCCTATGATAATAAATAATTTCAACGTGAAATGTTCTCAGTTGTGTCAGCAAAGACCAAGTTGGTAGCAGGCTCACCTCAGAGTGACCAGGTTCTAGGTTCAAATCCTGTTCCAGGTCAAGAGGTCAAACATCCAGGCTGGCATGTTGCTGCATTACTGATGGACCTCTGCACTGCCAGAGGTGCTGTCCGTGAAATGAGAATTAAAACAGAAGTCTACTCTATTAGAACAACGTTTCAAAAAGCACTCAGGGAGTAACGTCTGGCATCCTGGCCAATATTTATCCCTCAATTCTCACAAGGCCTCACCAAGGCACATTAATGGCATTTATTGCATTGCTGCTCGTGGGAACACAGACTAATTGCTTCCAATATGACAACCGTCGTCACAAGTCCAAAACAAATCAAATATGAGGTAAAGTGTGTGGTCTTCTGGTCAGTGTGATATGCCCCACATAAATGCAAGCCTTCTGTTCTTGTTACATGTTATTTGCAGCAGGGCAACAGACCATTTGGCACTCGAAGGACAGGATTTCTTGATACCCCATTATCTAAAAACAGGTCTTGCTGGAGAAACTCAGCAGGTCTGGCAGCATCTGTGGAGATAAAGCAGAGTCAATTTTTCAGGTGCAGTGGCCCTTAATCAGAGGTTCTCCAGCAATTTCTAGCATCCACAGTTCTTGGCTTTATCCTCACCTCCTGTCGCTGGCCAGTTAAACGCTTGAATTCCAGCAAGCCTTTCCCAAAGGAGGCAACACAGAACACCCATCAGATTTCAAGCCAGACAAGATCCCATCGCCAAAATTAAATTTCAGCCATTTTCTCCACACCCACTCTTGGAAACAACCTGACAACTTTAATGATTTCCATCAGATTAACTCTTAGCCTCTCAGAAAGGAACACTGCAGTAAGATTGCGCTCAAGATATGATTGCATTAAATCCAGCACTTTGTTTCATCAGACATACTGAGATCATCAATTTTGACAAAGTTTGACTAAGAATCAGTCAGCTCTGGACAAGTGTGTATTGGTCATGATAGGGGAGAGTACAGTAAGGAGAACAGAAATACCCTCTGCAGCTGCAACTGAGTTCAGCAAGCTGTGTTACCTGTCCAATGTCAGGTTTCAGGAGAAATCATCGACGGGGGAGAAGAATTTGGAGAAATACTGGGGTAATCCATTTGTTCTGGTCCACGTCAGAACCAAAAACATAGGTAGAACTAGGAAAGACACTCTCCAGACAGAGCTTGAGAAGTCACGACATCAATCAAAAAAACACAACTTCAAAAAGTTAGAGATTATTCTGAGCCATATAACAAGCGACACCGGGATCGGCTAATCCATCACCCGTGTGTCTGTGGATGGTGTGTCACTGAAATTGCATGCACAAACACCAACACTTTTAGTGACATGGGGCTCATTCTTAAGCCCAAGCTATTAACATGTTGTTGTACACGTGGCAAGACCTGTATGTTATAAGTGGCACATTCTGAGCATTTCTAGGGATTGGATATTAACAGAATAGGAGATCAATACAAGATCTCAGAGAATCCAGAAGAATCAGTCAGGTCAAGTTCTAATCCATTCTGTCAATACAGTAACTATTTCACACTAATTCGGTATGAAAAACAAATCATCACTAAGACTTCAGTTCTGCTTAGACTGAAGCTATTCATTTCTTCAAGTCTTTGTATTTTGATGTGATATTTCATATTTGGCTTGATTACAAGACTTCAAAGCTGCAACCATCTGATCAGAAGAACAATGTCCTCTGAAGTCGGGACAACAACTGATGCACTTAGCGGCTTGCAAGATGCTGGACCGTGCCATATGACTACTGGAGGTCTTTCATCAACACCAAAGAAAGGCCCGACCACAAATATCCCTCGGGTGCATCACAAACAAAGATTTGGGAATTAGAAGGCTGTCTTACTGCCAGAAGAGAGGTTATGCTTCGTTATAGAAATGGCCAGCAATGCTCAGATCAGTCATGATTAGAAACAAAGAAGATTAACATTTCAGTGGAACTGTACATTGACCTAACTTTATTTTTCAGCTGTGGAACAACCTATTACTATTTGCAAGAAAAACAGTTACTCTGAGGAGCTGGCGAAGCAACACTGAGTGACGATCTCTCATGCATTGGAGAAGGCAGTCAGTTATTTCCGTGTTCATGGCGGCTCATGAGAAGTCATTGTGAGTCCAACAGCATCACAAGATAAAAGCACCAAGCCAATCGAAACAAAGCTGAACAAAGTTAACGATTCAGATCAATGACCTTTAGAAAGGTTATGGACTCGAAACGTCAACTCTGTTTCTCTCTCCACAGATGCCAACAAAACCTGCTGATTATTTCCATCAGTTTCTGTTTTTTATTTCAGATTTATAGTACTCAAAGCATTTTGACTTTGCTGCTGTGTCAAGTTCCCTTCCCCGAAAGTCCAGAAATTAAGAAATTTGACTTGACAAATTTATCGTGATGGAAGAAGAGTTCAATCTGTGAATGACCCATCCAGTGACATGACCTGAGGTGTTGCATGGCTGCAGCACATGTTCACTCATTGCCTAGTAGTGTGCAAGTTCATTGCTAAGGAGCATGGAATGTAATACAAACACTTACTTTTTAATTTCATCTTCAACTAAATTGACTCCTTCAACCTTCGGATTCTGGAATTTATTAGTTGCACTTCCAAAATCACAGAGGACATAATGCCCTTTGTCATGAAGCAGTATATTTTCAACCTGAAGAGGGATATTAAAAGTAGTTAGTAGAAATCACAATTGAGCTTTTGGACCTCGAGCTGCCATACACAGATCTTTTAAATGAACAACTCTCCAGAATAAACCCAATGTACGTTTACTGCATCATAACCCCATCAATTCTGTCTTTGTCTTTTCCAAATGCAGCTCATCACTCTTACAGCCTGAGTCTAGACAGTGGGTGCCAGTGGGAATTGCAGCCCTATTCAACTTGTCTAGTTAAAGTCACTGAACAGCAACCAGGACAAAGAAAAACCCCTGATTGGTTCACACAATGCACCATAGATCAGCGAGCAGGTTTGTATCCTTCCTGATCTGTACATCTTGGGCTTGGTGTAGTCCTCGCCTGTAGCAACTCAGCCTGTCAAGAAGCTAGCAAAGTTCATCTGTTTTCCAAATATAAATGCACTTGCTGTAAAAACATGCTTCTGCAAGATGTGAGAAGACAGTACTACAGGGTTAGAATCTTCTGAGGAGGGAGAAATAATATGCCACATACTAGGGCAGCACCCATGATTTATCACACTAGGGTGACAGAAAGACGTACGGCTTCATCTTGTCAGAGATGAAGTGCTCATGGTTCAATACACCAGGGCAACTAGGGGAAGGGCAGGGGATGGAGAGAGGAATACTGCCTCATTATAAGGCCAGACTCTGATTCATACTCACAATCTATTATATTGGGCAGAGTGGGAGGTGGACTCAAAGTGCACGAATGCAGAAGCTTGCCTTGTCTTCTCAACTCACCATTAATGGGAAACGGCCATGGGAGGAGTTTGCTTTTCGTGCAGAATTCACTACACCAAGGGAGGATGACAAGATAAGTACTGTGTGCTCCCAAGTACAGAAGCACTATGTTTCTGATGCTTCACCAAACACACAAAATCTTCAAGCACTTTTTAACCATTTAAATTATTGCTACACTTGGTTGAACAAAACCAATTCTCCCCACTTTTATGAGCCTTGCATTCTCATCAGGGGAAGTTTAAAAAAATAAATCTGAATCAACTGGTCTCACTCTCTCAACATTTCTTCAATCAGGCACAAAACAGAAATAGCACATTGACCAACAGGTTTTAAAATGCCTTTGCCCTCCATACTGTTGTGTCTCCTACAGCAAGCTCTGTTCACCTTTAAATCCCGATGGATGATGGGCGTTTTGCACTGGTGCAACCTTGCAACTGCTTCACACGTGTCACAGAATATCTGCAATACCTCGTTCTCAGTGAAACCAGTCTGCAACCGCTGGTTCATCAGGTTCACTACTTGACCTCCTGCAACAAAAAAAACGGTAGCAGCAATTCGTTAAAAGTTCACCAGACACCCACTTCACAAAACATTCCACCCAGACCTGATTTAGCTCAAGAAAATGTACAAACTTAACAGGTTCTTAGCTTTGAAAAAAAGCAACTGTGAAAAGGCTCCAGATTACAAACTATCAAAAAAGGGTAAACATGGATTTCTATTTTTAAGCTCGGCTGTGGCAGCAAGACAGGTGACACAATGCTTCCGCATGGGAACTCTACAACCTTCTGGACTCAATACTGAGAGCAATAACTTTAGGGCTTGAGCCCTCCCACATCCTTATCCCAATCCCCACACACCGGGCCTTGATGTCGCATAAAAGCTGAGTTCTAAGGAAGAGTCACCGGACCCAAAATGTTGACTCTAATTTTTTCTTCACAGGTGCTGCCAGACCTGCTGAGCTTTTCCAGCAACTTCTGTTTTTTCACTTGTTATCACATAGCCAGCTATACACATGACGCATTGTTAGCAACTAACAGTTCCCATTAGCAGCTATTCACCCTCCTAGCCACGTCGCTATCCATTCCTTTGTCCAATTCTTCTCTCTCTTTTGGGTTCTATCTCTACTTATCACTTACACCTTACCTCCCTCCCCCCACCCTATCTTCTGCATATAAACTGACATTTTCCTAGCTACCATCAGTTCTGAGGAAGGGTCATTCAACCCAAAACGTTAACTCTGATTTCTCTCCACAGATGTTGCCAGACCTGCTGAGCTTTTCCAGCAATTTTTGCTTTTGTTTCTGATTTATAGCATCCGCTGTTCTTTCAGTTTTGATTTGACACAGTGCTTCAACTGGTGTGCTGTTTAAAAGGTCACCAGCCCCAAAGAACTTCTTGGCTAAATGCATTCTATCCACTTGGAAGAGGTCGGGATGAGCTGCAAATGTTTCAAACTGCCTCCAATATCTGGATTCCCTTCACAACTCACGAGACAAAGATGTGATGGCCAGTTTTGGAAAGAGGGAAGTGACAAAAGAGGAGGGAAAGGCACAACTGATTAAAATTTCCCTGTTTGTGCAAAGAAAGAAAGAAAGAAAGAAAGAAAGAATCGAATCATCACAGCCACCTCTCTGCTTCAGCCGTGGCATTGGGATGGGAAGGTTTGGTACGACAGGCGCCTTTCCCAATGTCAGAAAATGAGGTGAGGCTTCAATTTGGGTTTGACCTCGACACTAACTGTGAAGACCTTCACGGCCCATACAGAAAGGTGATTCTAGGAGGAATCATCAACCTCGAAAGATTTGCAAGGTTGTGTCCAAAATCTATTAACGTTACAGCAGTGTATTGCAGCAAGGTGAGTACTGAATTTTCCCTCCTCTGTATTTAAGGATGCCCTCAACTGCATCTCCTCCACTTCCCACACTTCTGCCCTCAAACCCCCTCCCTCCAACAACAATAAGGAAATAATCTCCTTCATCCTCACCTACCACCCCAGCAACCTCTGAATCCAACGCATCATCCTCCAACATTTCTGCCACCTACAATCAGACCCCACCACCAAAAAGATTTTTCCTTCCCCACCCCTGTCCACTTTCCGCAGGGACCATTCATTCCACGACTCCCTCGTCTGCTCTACACTCCCCACCAACTTCTCCACTGCAGCCGGTACCTTTCCCTGCAACCACAAGAGGTGCAACACCTGTCCCTACACCTCCCCTCTCACCTCCGTCCAAGGTCACAAACAATCCTTCCAGATCCAACAGAGATTCACCTGCACTTCATCCAACCTAATCTGTTGTATCTGTTGCTCCTGTTGTGGTCTGTTCTATATCGGGGAGACCAAACGCAGACTCAGGGACGGTTTGCGGAGCATCTGCACACACCTACCAACCCAGCCTTCCGGTTGCCACCCATTTTAATTCCCCCTCCCACTCTCCTGGTGACATGTCCATCTTTGGCCTCCTCCACTGTCAGTGTTATGCCAAACATAAACTGGAGGAACAACACCTGATATTTCGCCTTGGGAGCTTACAGCCCAATGGCCTTAATATTGACTTCACCAGCTTCAAAAGCCCTCCACCCCCAGCATTATCCCATGTTCAGCCCTCCCTCTCCTCCTCACCTCCTTGACTTGATCCGACCTGTCATCTTCCTACTCATTTATCTGCTCTACCCCTCGCATTGATTAATCACAATAACCTCCTACCTGCATCCACCAATCACCATCCTACTTACCCTTACTCCAGACCCACTCTCCTCCCTCTATTTATTTCTGGGCTCCCCTCCCCCTCCCCAGTCCTGACCCAAAAGTTGCCCTTCCTGCTCCTTGGATGCTGTCTGACCTGCTGTGCTTTTCCAACTTCACGTCTATTGACTCTGGCTTCCAGCATCTGCAGTCCTTACGGTCTCCAAGCCACATCTGCCAAATGGAACTTGGCTGAAATCTGATCCTGTTGTGTAGATTGCAATCCAGAGGAATGCCACATGAAAAGTAATTTCACAAATTACCAGAGGATTGGAATACAGCTGCAACACCGCAAAGTGCATTCTGTCACAAAATGAGATTATGTTGAAGTGGAGTAGACCACACATTATAATGTCAGACAGAGCCCAGGTACCTGGCAGCAAAATGGTGTGTAGTGTTATTCTCCTTGCCTGAGAAAGGATGCTCTAGCTACGGAGAGACTGCGATGAAGGTTAAACAGACTGACTTCTGGGTTGGCAGGACTGACGTATGAAGAGAAACTGGATCAGTTAGGAAATTATTCACTGGAGTTTAGAAGAATGAAGGAGGGGATCTCAAAAAAGCTGGACTAGACAGGTAAAAGCTGGACTAGACAGGTAAATGCAGGAAGGATGTTCCCAATGACTGGGGAGTCCAGAACCCAGGGTCACAGTTTATGGATACAGGGTAGGCCATTTAGGACTGAGATGAGGAAAAATGTTTTCACCCACTGAAAAGTGAGCCCGTGGAATTCTCTGCCACAGAAAAGCAGTTGAAGCCAAAACACTGAATGTTTTCAAGAAAGAGTTAGATATAGTTTTTCAGGCTAAAGGGATCAAAGCATTGGAGGCAAAAGCAGGAAAAGAGAAACTGAATTGGATGCTCAACTATGATCGCATTGAACAGCAGACTACGTTTGAAGGGCGAATTACTTTCTCCTGTTCCTACTTTCTATGTTTCTAAGGCATGTGGCAGCCTCATCTAGGAGAGTGCCTGTATCAAATTCAAGAGCCGTCAACCAATACCTACTTTCTAGAGTAATAAGTCAAAGGAGGATGGAACAGAAACAAGCTTTCAGGCAGGTGGTTGATGGGTGAATCACTTTTAATCTCTTGATTTTTATTTCCATGTTGCAAAACTTATTTGAAAAACTTATACATGTATATGCTAAGTATTGCCATGGTTAGCGAAAACAGGGTACAGAAAAAATCAACTTGTGCTCACCTGAAGTCATGGCCTAGACATGAGAGAAAAGCTGCCACCTCTGCCCATCCTTTCCCCAGTCACCCACCTTCAGGTTTTCCTGCAAAGCCAGGCAGCTGTTATTGTAGTGAGTATGTGAGGGAAGTCTTCCTTACACCATTAAAGCAAAATATTGTGGATGCTGGAAATCTGACACTAAAGCAAAAATGCTGGAAAAACTCAGCAGGTCTGGCAGCATACACAGACAGAAACAGAGTGAACGTTTCGAGTCCGGTATGATGATCTTTCAGAACTGAAACAGCATAGAAATATGAGAATCATTGAGTCATATCGTCACATGTACGCCAAGCAATAAATACCAAATGACACTAATCCCATTTATCTGCACTTGGTCTACAGCCTACTCTGCCTGGCATTTTAAGTGCTCATCCTGGTGCTTCTTAAATGTTGCAAGAGTACTTGCCTCCACCACACTCTCAGGCAGCACATTCCATATGTTTACCATCATCCAGATAAAAAGGTCTTTCCACAGACCTCCTCTAAATCACTAGCTCCTCAAGTTAAACTTGTGCCCTCTGGCCTTCAACATGAGGGGTTTAAAACTATTGAAGAGGGCGAGGATGGAAGAACAAAGGGAAGTTTTGGGTTTATGTAGACGGCTGGAGAGAAATGACAAAAACGTCAAGGAACAAAAGGAAAAGGCAGTGGCTCTTGCAGTCGCAAACAAATAAAGCAATTGCCCAGACTGAGTGTTCATGACAGGATAATGAACAGTTCTGGCCCAAAGCAGAAACATAAATGACACAATTAAGACTGTGCTTGTGGCCAAAAAACAGAGAAAGGAGTTCGTGGTTTGATATTATTAAACACCAGGTCGAGTGCTGAAGACTGTATAATGCCACATTGGAAGGTGAGGCTTTGTCCCTCAAACTTTAAGCTTTGCTGGAACAGTACAGCATGCAGAGTACGGAAATATGAACATGCCTGCAATTTCAGAAATTCAAATGGTTAGCGACTGGAAGCTCGGGGTCACATGAATGGATAAATTGAAAATCGGATTGCTAACAGCCAAACAATCTGCTTTTGGTCTCCGTCGCGTCGAGAGCCCACATTGTGAATAGCGAATACAATACACAAAACTGAAATATGGACAAATAAATCGTGATTGCACCTGCAAAGACATTTTTGAGCCTTGGAGAAGAAATAATAAGGTAGGCATGACACCTGTTTCAACTGCATGGAAAATTGCTATAGTGAAGGCAAGCAGTATTGAAGGTGCTTCTACTTGGGTGGGATGCCACAATTAATTTACCAATGTAATGGATGTACAGTATGACAGCACACATGCTTGGGCACTGTACCACAACTAAAAAGTAGAGCGCTGTGGAATGATCCAAGAAGTTTGACTGGAGAACGCGATGTGAGGCCTATGGGTGACCCGTCGATATGTCTCACTCCAAGTGAGGTTCAACAGTTAGATCAGAAAAGAGTGCCTTGAAAAGATAGAAAGGAAAATAAGCTGGACAGGTGGTTGTCTCGGGGCTTAGAACTGACGCAACTGGAGGTAAGGGTGACGATGTTGGAGAAGGAAGTGCAGAT